AGTCAGCTCTGGCACTCCACCTTGGGAAGGAGATAAACTGGTTGGGATGCCGCATCAGTGGCGTGAGGTTAGGAGGAGGCAGGGAGTGGGGGGAAACTTCTTTCTAGCACGGGGTGATCTGGATGAAGCTCTGTTCATCCTCATCTTCGGTAGCTGTGGCCAAGGCTGGGCAGAGGGCAGGCTCTGCAGTGGGAGGGAGCAGAAAGAGCTGGGCAGTAAGAGAGGAGCCCCCAGCATCTCAGAGAGGGTCGAGTCTGGGAGAGGACTGAGCGCTGGTTGTGACTCTGATTTCATCTCTACCCTGGGGCACATCGTTTAAAGGCAATGTGTTTTCACAGCTGTTAAACTGACTCCTGTACGTTTGCGGTGAGGGCTTTTTCATGGAGAGCTGCTTGCATCTTTAATAAATGATTGGTGGTGAAGTTACCAGAGGGACGTAGCTCTGAGGCACAGATGGCCAGGGTTTGGTCAAGGCGTGTCTGATTCTTTGCGACTTTGCCTCCATCTCCGAGCCGAGCAGCGCAGCACTCCCTTCTGCCCGCTCTCCTTGTCCCTGCCTTCCCCCCTCTCTAAATGAATACCTCTGAGGCACCTTGTGGAAACCTCCCTGCTGCATATTTTCCTTTAATTTTTTTTAAACCTCTTTCCTTATCTCCTGCTTCCTCTTACAGGATCGACTGCCTGCTGTTGAGAGCTAAATCCAGTCCTCCTTCGCCACTGGGTCCTACACCCCCTTGAGTTTCCTAAAAGCAATGCCGGGCTGTTCCCACTTGTTCTGCCACTGGGGACTCGCCTTCCACCCCCGGCATGAAAAGCCCTTTTGTGGGTCACTCCCAGGCAGTAACCCTCTGTTTTGTCCTTTCCTCTCCAGCCGGATCTCCTCAATTTCAAGAAGGGATGGATGTCCATCCTGGACGAGCCAGGAGAGGTAAGCCCGAGGCGGGGGTCTGCCTCTTCCCCCAGCCCCTGCTGCTAGAGATCCCCCAGCGAGCAGCAGATTCCCTTCCCCCTCCCTTGCTGAGGTCACTCCCATTGGGAAAGGCAGCGAGAAGCCTTTGGTGGAGGTGCCTTGCCCTGTGTGCGGGCACGGAGGTTCACCCAGCGCCCCTCTCCCAGCCGAGGGGCGCGAGGGGGAGTCGGAAGGGATGTGGAGGAGGGGGAAGAGAAGGCCAAGAGGATCTGGCGCAGAGCGTCCCTCCCTGTTCCTACGCTTCCCCTGGTAACTGCCTATCCATTTCCCTCCTGTCTTTTCCCTTCCTTCCCCCTGCCCGATCCGCCTGCAGTGGAAGAAACATTGGTTCGTGCTGACTGACTCGAGCCTGAGGTATTACCGGGACTCGAACGCGGAGGAGGTAAGCAGGGCCAGCCTTTCTCCAGCCCTCTCTTCCTTCCCGGCCAGGGGGGAGAGGAGCACAGCCGTGGCGTGACCGGCGTGCGCCTGGGAGAAGCGGCACCATCCTCTCCCCCTGAAAGGTGCCAGAGGTGGCGAGCTGCTCTTTGCCAAGGGGTGAGGAAGAGGATGGGTGTCTGGAGGCAGGCTGGTGAAGCCTCGGGGGGCTGTCAGTGGTGGGAGGTGAGGAGGAGGGCTGATCCTGTGGCTGGGCATCTCAGACACTCTCCATCCACACTGCTGGCTGCCACTCAGGTTAAAAGAGGCCACACTGTGCCAGGGAGCTGAGACTGTCTCCTGGAGAGCTGTGGGGTGAAGGCAGAGACAGCAGGCACTTCGGTTAGGGTGCTGGCAGGTGACGGGGGCTTTTTCAAAGTTGGGTTTGCACTGATGTCTTAGCGGGTGGCTGTGCTTGCAGGCTGATGACCTCGATGGAGAAATAGACCTCCGCTCCTGCACGGACGTGACAGAGTTTGCAGTGCAGCGCAACTATGGCTTCCAGATACACGTGAGTGTCCAGCACCACATGGACACGGAGCAGTGGCACCAAGGGACACTGGGTGGGAATGCATACTCCCTCCCCGTGCCAAGATGCTGAGAGGCAAGCCGTGCAAACCTTGTGCCAGGATGGTGGCCCAGCAGGGCTGGTTGGTGACACGTGGGTGGCAGTGCTTAGGGACAAGAGTGCTGCCTGTCTGCAAAGGAAGGAGGAGGAGGAGGCTTTGCAGGGCTGGCCAAAGGTGATGCTGGAGGCAGCCCAGGAGCCAAGTTAAACGTCAGGAGTGTTTACTTTACCTGTCGGCCAAGGCAGCTTCTCTAGAGCCATGGGGAGGGAGCAGTGAGCACAGCAGATTTCAGTGTAGCCTGGCTGACCATGCTCCGAGTATCAACCTGTGTCCTGGATCTAGCCCCAGTACAATCCCGTCCTCAGCTACTTAGCATAGCAGTGGGAGATGGCTGCTAAGGCAGTGCAAAACCTAGTGGGTGTGCAGGGTTGAGCACTTTCTGGTCTGGGTTTCCCTGCTGTACCCCAGCACTGGTGCCCAGCTCCCAGCACCTGAACGACTGGATGGCACCAGCTCACGTTTGGCCAAATGTGCCGGCAAAGTTGCTTTTGCTTTTGCTTGGAGATAGTCTTGCGGTGGACGTGTGACGGGCTTTCCCGCAAAGAGCACGTCTCTGCTCCCATCCCTCCACCTGACCCCAAAAGCATGGGAGTGTTCGAGACAGCACGTCGTCTCTCTGGCACTGTCCACCACCCGTGTGAGTGGGTGCCTGGGGGTCTCGGAGAGTGAGCGGGAGCTGCTTGCGCCTCCGCCAGGCTCTGACAGGGCCTCCATTGCCTCCCTGTTGCAGACGAAGGATGCCGTCTTCACCCTGTCGGCGATGACCTCGGGCATCCGGCGCAACTGGATTGAGGCCCTGAGGAAGAACGTGCGCCCAGTCAGTGCTCCGGACGTCACCAAGTAAGAGTTGCTCTGCACTGCTTCTCTTCCTTCTCTTGCTGCCCCTTTCCCCTGGCAGGCAGGGACTGGAAAGGCCCCTCTGGAAATCCAGCCGCTCCCAGGTCAGCCCTGCCCTCCACTCCTCCTGAATATGGCCTGGAGACACCATCCAGTGGTGGGGGTTGAGAGCCTGATGATTCCACTCTTGCACCCGCTTTTTGCCTCGCCGCATCAGTTTAGCCTGGTTTCTCCACCAGCTTGGCTGGAACTGGGGGTGAATCCTCCCTGCCCTATAGAGGAACCCGTTTCCCCAAAGGATGGGATGCTACAGGTCCAGCTCCAAGCTCAGGGTGGGGTTTTGTAAGGCTGGACTGAGCAAGAGCTGAGCCTTGGGCAGCTGGTGATGCCTCTGCCAGCTCCTTCTCCACGCGGCACCTCTCCTTCACCAGCTGCCGCTCTGCTTTCAGGCTCTCAGACTGCGATAAGGAGAACTCCTTCCGTAACTGCGTCCCCCAGAAGGGCTCGCTCCAGACGGAGGAGCAGCAGCGGCCGGGCTCAGGCTCCGAGGGGAACTCTAAGGGCGGTCACTGGAAGGCGGACAGGCAGCGCCATGCCTTTGACTATGTGGAGCTGTCTCCCTTGCCACAGGACCCCGGGAATCAGGGGTCCCCGCAGAGGACGAGAGGGAGCTTGAGGATCTCTGACCGAACTCCTAAGCATGAGGAGCTGGAGCGGGATCTGGCTGTCCGTTCGGAGGAGAGGCGGAAATGGTTCGAGACCCCTGATGGCAGGGTCCCAAATAGTGATGGCCTGGTGGGGGACTCTTCCCGCAAGGCAGGGGAGCAGGACCTCCCTGCTTCCCCGCTTTCGGAGGACCAGCGGATTCGGCTGAATGAGGAGATAGAGAAGAAGTGGCTGGAGCTGGAACGCCTGCCCTTGAAGGGCTCGCGGCGGGTGCCCTTGACAGCACTGCTAAACCAGAGCAAGGGGGGCCACGGAGACACCAACGAGGCGCTGAAAAAGGAGGTAAGAGCATCCCTCCTCTCTGAAACTGGTATTCTGGTAGCCCCTTTGTGTGGTCCCTGGCAGCAGGAGGCTCTGGAGAAGAGCAAGGCAGAGGTGCAGAGAGATGTTCATTCTTTCTGACTCCATATGCCACCCCTCGAGTGCATGGGAGCTTTTTCAACCGGGTAATGCGAGGCCAGAGACCTGCTCTTGCATGCCTGGAGAGGTTCCCCAGGCCATGTTTTGGTCCAGGATAAGTTAGTTGGTGGCACTGCTTGCATGGAGTCTGTGTTTCCCAGGAGTACGTCCACAGCCTGTCTTCTCTGGCTGTTCCCAAGCCTGTAAGCGCTTCACCTGCCAGCCTTTGAAAGGAGCCCTGTGCTTGTCTGTTATCCCAGCTAGATGCACAGTGGTGGTTTGCTCCAGCATGGATCCACCTGTGGAAGTTGGGATGTCTCCTCCCCTCCTTGCTAGCACTTACTGGACTGGGGCTGGCTTTGCTGGTTTGGTCCCTTGGTGGTCTGCCATTCCTATGGGAAGCAGACATCTCCTTTGGCCATGTGTGGTCCTCCCCATCCCTAAACCCAGGGTTCAGATGCGGCACGTCAGTCGGGTCGCGGCGCTTTTCCACCCCTGGCTGAGTATCTCTCTCCCCTCCGTGGCACAGGTCCAGTTGCTGCGAGCGCAGCTGGAGTCCTGCCAGGCCCGAAATGAGAGCCTTCGGGAGGCGGCAAAATCCCAGGGAGACGGCCACGTGCCCCGGGGATACATCTCACAGGTGAGCAGGGCGCCAGACACGGGACCCTGGAGTCACTCCCAGTCCCAAACTGGGAAATGTCAGGACTCAGCTCATTGCTGAGTAGGTATTGCTAATCATTGGGTTGCTGTGGTGACCCTAACTGGGCTCGCTTGTAATCAATGTTAATTATATAAAGGCTGGTGTGTGTTGCCTGGCCTTAAAGGGCCCAGAGAATAAACAGGGAGAAGGAGGAGGAGAGTTAGGGGAGGAGTGCAGGATCTGTGCCCTGCTTTGTATGTGGGCATGATGCTGGCCTGGCCTGGGCTGGGGTGGTGAGCCGTCCCCCTGCTCAGGACTGGGTCAGCAGCTTTCTGGGTCTCCAGCCGAGCCACCGCATGATCCCTGGCGGTTTGCAGCTTGCCCCATGCAGTTCTTGCTAACAGGGGTTCCCGAATCCCTCGTTAAAAGCAGCCCGTCAGGCCCTGGGGAGCTCCTGTCCCTGCCAGAGCCGCCTGAGCCCTGAAGGTCACTTTGACAGCAGAGCCCGTTTGTTTGCTGGGACGGCACATGGGGAGGCCTGCAAAGCAGAGTTTGCTCAGGCTTCGGCCTCTCACTTCTCTTTGTTTATTTATTTTCCCCACCATGTACTCATCCAAAGCAAGCGGGGTCACATCCCGCAGGGATTTCCTGGGGGGTGGCTGCCATTCCACCACGTTGTGCGGATTTCAGGATGTGCCATATGTGTTGAAAGATACGAGGGAGGGGGAAGGAACTTGGGGCTGGTGAAGCCCGTTGCAGTGGATTGGCTGTACCTAGCCCAGAGAAAGAAACCCGTGAGTCCCACGGTGCCCAGCCCTGCCAGGTACCAGTCGCTCTGTCATGTTGACTTAATATTTACAGCTCACAGGCCTCTTTATGGTCAAAAAAAGCAAAAGGAGTGGGGAGGAATGGCACCTTATCTTCCTAATAACTTGGCTCAAAAGGCCAGCATTTCATGCCTGGGCTTATTCTCACTCTGCTAAGGTTCACAGCCAGCCCGTGGGCAGATCACTAAGTTGATCCCTTGCCTTTTCCTCTCCTTTGGTTGACCTGTGAAGCTTCCCAGCTTCCCCATCTCAGTACGGGGGAGCAGCCAGCAAGGACTTGCATTCCCGCAGCATGTTGCAGCGCCCTTAATATCAGCCTTTGCCTTAGTACCAGGAGAAGGAATGGGAGAGCAGGGGGCTGTTGGGGGATGTGATGGCTTCTTGGCTCTTTGCTGACATCTTAGAGGCCTTCGCTTTTTAAAATAATACTCTGGCACAGTTTGGTGGTAAGTCCTTTCCAAGGGGCTTGGGGTGGTGCTGCTAGGGTCTGCAGGGAGAGCGGAGGCATAGCTCCGTGGTGGGAAGCGCTTGCTTTGCTGTAACACCAGTTAACTACAGCACTTGGTGTTGAAAGAACCATCCCCTCAGTCTCAGAGCCATCAGAAAGGAGGGCAAGCTGTGCGAGGAGGATCCCTAACCATGAGGCTTTGGGGAGGGCTCCTTGGCAGCCTCCATCAGGCTACAGGACAGTGCAGGGGTGTCAGTTTTCAGGAGAAGAGGCTCAGTTTTCATTGATTCTGGGGGATGCTGCTTCATTTAAAAGGCAGATACTGAGACGTGGTTCCCGCTGTCGATCTCCTCCAGCCAGGCAGTGCAGCCTGGTGGAGGGGTCTGATCTGGGATGCCGGGCACATTATTCCCAGCTCTTGGCCCAAGAGAAACGTTCCTGTCGTGCTGCTTCACTTTTAAGAAGAGCAAGAGGAACGTTTCTTCCTCTGCAAAGCATGGGGGGCTTGCAAGATGTGTGGCCCTGTCAAATGGTTGTGTTCTGTGATAAAAGCGCCACCTCACTTTCACTTTTCCTTCTGAATTGGTCTTGCTTCTCTCAAAATGGCCCTGGACTTGGGTGAGGTTTGCAAAGCCAAATGTCAGCCCAGCCAGGTGCCTGTCGTGGCCTGAGCCCCTGCATGCCTAGGACCTTTGAGTCCCTCACCCTCCTTCCCCCGGCACGGCAGGAGGCCTGCGAGCGCAGCCTGGCCGAGATGGAGTCATCCCACCAGCAAGTGATGGAGGAGCTCCAGAGGCACCACCAGCGGGAGCTGGAGCGGCTGCGACAGGAGAAGGAGCGGCTCCTGGCAGAGGAGGCTGCGGCAACGGCAGCAGGTAGGAACGGGCACCAAGCCGTGCCCTTGCTCAGGTGGGTCCCTCCTGCCGCTTCCAAATGTCTCTTGCGAGAAACCAGTCATCTGGAGTCATGCTGCTGACCGTACTCGTGTGAGGCTGATGCTCAGCACCTTCTTGAAGGCAGGCAGGACTGGCAGAGGTGGCAGGGAGCTCCCATGCTGCCCTGTGTTAGTCTCCTTGGCAGCGCTTGGTGCATCAGGATGATCCTGGGGTGTGGAGAAGGTGGGGCTGCTCCGAGGGCAGAAGGGATGGAGGGGGAACTTGCAAAGATAGGTCTGGGAGCCTGCAGCAGTAAGAAGTTGGCTGGTTCCCTGGCTTGGTTTCCTCCAGATGTGCTGGAGCTGGCACAGCCTGATCCCCCATCTCCCATTGTCACCCTCCGCAGCCATTGAGGCACTGAAGAAAGCCCACCGGGAGGAGATGAATAAGGAGCTGGGCAGGACACGAAGCTTCCAGCAGTGCGGCTCGGTCTCAGATGCCCTCCAGAAGCAGCACCAGTAAGAAACCACCTCTCCCACTCCCCTTGCCCAATGCTGCTGCCCAGTGCCGGTGTCACCGCACCCCATCTGCGGCCATAGCCCCCAGCTGTCCCCCCTGCCACCTCCCCAGCTCCCTTCCCGGGGGCGGTGGGTGCCCAACAGTGATTGCCAGGGCTGCTGAAGCTGTAGGGTAGGGAGGTTTATCCCCTGCTTGGCTATTTTCCCTATAGCACCTCTGTCTTCCCTATAGCTTCTTCCCTCCATTTTCTTTACGGAAAGCTCCTCCATTTCTCCAGCATGGCTTAAAGCTCCTAGAAGCACCACGCTCATGTGCGGGAAGGTGGGAACTGAAGCTTTGATCCACAGGGGACATTATTTTGTGCCAATGACTGATGTGGGCAGAGGCTGCCCATGGCAGGGGAGAAGGCGATGCCAGGGGCCAGCGAGGATTGCAGGGCAGCGATGAGCTGGTGCTTCTTTGACAGGTTGGATGTGGATTCCCTGAAGCGGGAGCTGCAGGTGCTTTCTGAACAGTACTCCCAAAAGTGCTTGGAAATTGGGGAGCTCACCCAGAAGGCAGAAGAGCAGGAGCAGACGCTGCTGCGCTGTCAGCAGGAGGGGAAGGAGCTCCTCCGGAAAAACCAGGCAAGAGAGGGGCTTTCCCTGCCAGCAGAGACCGCAGAGCACATTCCTCCCTTGCACGGCACAGCCCCTCTATTAAAACTCCCCTATTTGTTCATATTTCTTCCCTTCTGAGATTATCGTCAGAAAGAAAAAAAATTGAGAGTTAGAGGCTGTAGATGGGCCTGTCCTAACTATGGTGTTTAATATGGCGAGTGTATTCTTTGCTGCTGGTTGTAGGTGCTGCTGTGACGTATGGGCAGAGGGTTACAAGGAGGTCTCTGAGCTGGGGTAGGGCTGGCATGAAGATGGAGAGGTCAGGACAGCGGAGAGGCCCATGCCCTGGCTACCCTGACATCTTTTGTTTTCTCCCGCAGGAGCTGCAGACCCGCCTCTCGGATGAGATCGGGAAGCTGCGAAGTTTTATTTCATCGCGGGGCTCTGGGGACCGCTCTCCGCACAACAACGAGCGGAGTTCCTGCGAGCTGGAGGTACGGGGGTGCCCCGAAGCTGCGCCGCTGCCTCCATCCCCACCCCGTGCCGGGGGTCTCCTCCTCGCGGCGGTTTTGGCTTGGAGCGGGTGGGAGGGGGGTGCCGGATGGA